TGTGTGTGTGTGTGTGTGTTTTTAAGTGTGTAAGTCCTTGTAAGGTGTACTGGAATGTGAGCCTGTGCTCCGCCTCCTGTGTGCTGAGCAGAGCAAACTCTTTTCTGATGCATCTGATGTTAAATAGGTGATATGTAAAGCTGATTGCTGTGTGACTGACCTGTCCTCCACCAAGTGCTCTCCTATGGCTTGGAAATTTGGAGTCATCTTTCTGTGTGTCGTGTTTTAGGTATACTTCTCATCCCACTACTAGTCCTAAATTATTTTATCCTAAGATATGTGCGCTTGGAAATCAAAATGATTAGAGAGTGCTTAAATTAATTAAGAGTAAGTTGAGTTTGAATATGACTCAAGGGAATCTCGTGTGCTCGTACATTGGACTTTATTTTAACTTTTCACTGAGTAGATGAAATTGTCATATAGATAAGTAGTGTTGTGTCTAACATATTCCCTCTCCCCCATTTTACAACAGAGAAGAAGACACAGAAAATGAAAATGAAAAGAAAATCTGGTACTACAGCACAAAGGTCCAGCTTGCAGAATTAATAGAGTGTCTAGACAAAGATTACTGGGAAGCAGAACTTTGCAAAGTGCTAGAAGAAATGCGCGAAGAAATCCACCGGCACATGGCCATCACGGAGGACCTGACCAATAAGGCCCGGGGCAGCAACAAGTCGTTTCTGGCGGCTGCTAACGGTGAGGGACAACGCTTCTGAGATACGCACTCACTACACAGTGTGCAAATTACGGGTGTCTTACTTTAATTGTCCGAATTTCATTTCCCCAGACAGCTTTGTTTACTCTTAACAGAAATTAAATTTTAGTGTCTTAGTTCTTGCTTTGGTCTTTATTCTCTACAGCATGCATTTCTTTTCTTTTTCTTTTTTTTTTTTTTTTTAAACAGTGTCCTGCTATGGTGGCCTAGGGTAAGCGTTGAACTCGTGCCTTCTGCCTTTATTTCTCAAGTGCTGGAACTGTGGCCATGCGCCACCGTGCCTGGTCCATTTGTTTCTTTAATTTAAGTATCTTATTAAACCTTTGGCAATCTCCTCTATCCCTCTTCCCCGTTTTTTTGTTACAGTGTTGGAGATTGAACCCAGAGCCTCATGCATGCTAGGCACGTGTTTTACCCATAAGGTGTACTTTGAGCCCCAGTCTTATTTAATTTTAAGAAGTAATATTCTCTTTGAATTTGTTTTTTATTTATTTTTTGGTAGCACTGGGGTTTGAACTCAGCTTCATGCTTGCTAGGCAGGCACACTACCACTTGAATGTCCAGCCTTTCTTTTCTTTTTGAAAAAATAAACCTCTAATTTTGGACTAGTTTAGATTTATAGGAAAGCTGTGGTGGGCTAGGTGCATAGCTCCATGGTGGAGTACTTAAAGTGCGTAACATTCGTGAAGCCCTAGGTTCCATCCCCAGCACTGCCAGGAAAAAACAAAGTTGCAAAGATAGTGCAGAGGATTGCCCTGTATTCTTCAATATTTTACCTTTAGCTAAAGTTCATGCTTGATTCAGAATGCCTTACTTTTTACCCACTGTCCTTTTCTTGCCTCCTGGTCTCCTCCAGGTATACTGCATTGTATTTAGTCATCTAGACTGCCAGTGTCTCCGACTGCCCTTGCTTCCGATGACCATGGCAGTTGAGGGGTACAGGTCAATGATTTTGGAGAATGTCCTCAATAGGCGTTTTCTCATTTGCTCTGATAGTTATTGTGGGGCTATGTTAGGTGGAGTGCCATTGTCATCACATGTCAAGGGCATATTGTCACCATGACTTACCTGATGATGCTCACCTTGCTCGCCTGGTTGAAGTAGTATTTGCTCAGGTCCTCACCTGCAGTCACCACCCTCTCCACCCCTTGATACCATGTTTAGTAGAAGCAAGTCTTTAGACGTCACCTGCACATAGGGGTAGGGAATTATATTCTCCTTCCTCCAGGGAGCAATATGTACATGTAGATCTGTCTGTTCTCTCTTCATTCTGTCATTTATTTCTGTTAGGATAGATACATGCATATTCATTTTATACTTTAGGTTAGAATTCACTACTACCTTACTTATTTTGTTGCTCAACTCTTTGATTTTTGATTTTTTTTTTTTTTTTTTTTTCCCCTTGCCACCACTGGGGTTTGAACTCAGAGCTACACTTCCAACCCTTTGTTTACTTTCGGAGAGGGGGTTCTGGGATTTGAAATCAGGCCTGCTTGGTACCGTTTGAGCCAGGCCTCCAACCCCTGTTTTTTTTTTTTGGTATTTTTCCAGTAGCGTCTCACATTTATATCTGGACTGGTCTCTACCTCCATCTTCCCACTCTCTGCCTCTAGAGAAACTAGGATTATAGGTATGAGCTACTGTGCCGGTTTTTTTTTTTAAAGTAATAATGCATATGATCTTTCTTAAAGATTTAAAGTGTAGTATAAAAGAGCCAGGCGCCAGTGGTTCACTTTTATAATCCTAGCTACTTGGGAGGCAGAGATCAGGAGGATCGGGGCTCGAAGCCAGCCTGGGCAAATAGCTTTGAGACCCTATTTCAAAAAATACCCAACACAGAAGAGGAATAGAGGAGTGACTGAAAAGGTAGAGTGCCTGTGTAGGTAGCAGGTGTCCCTGAGTTCAAATCCCAGTATACCAAAAAAATAAATACATAAATAAAGTAGTATAAAAGAGTATGCAGCGAAAAGTGAGTTTCTTTCATAACCCTAATCGCACCTTTTTTTTTAACAGAGGCAAATGCTATTAGCATGTTTCTTATCCCAATAGCTAAATTATGTGGGTGCTTAACCTATATCATGACCTGTTTTTTTGTTAGTCTTTTAATTTTAACATAAATAAAACAAGGTTAAGATTCTGTAGGTTCTCTCTACATTATCTGCTGTGCATAAAGTCTTGTTAATTCTCCTCACTCTCTGTTTGCTTAAAAATAGGATTAGATTTAATAAATATACTCAGCTATATGCAAACATTTTTACCTACAGTCCATCAGTGTTCTTCAATTGATACACATTTTTGGAGAGTGCTAGCCATGTTGTCCTATATCCGTACTGTTGCACACAAATTCACTTTGTCTTCAGAAGTAGGCAGACTTAGCACAGATTACAGTGACTCATATGTAGTAGTTGGAAGTATTTCTCTATTAGTTTTCATCAGAAATGTGTCTCTTCAGAATTCTTCGGGAAGGTCAGTAATTATACTAACGTAATTCTTCTCTCATCGCTCCCCTCCCCCATCAGATCATAGAAAGTGTTACTAATTTCAGAATGGTTGCTTTCCCTTTTAATTTTTTTTTTCACATATCGTGGCATGGAAAGGAGCAAACCTCTTTTTGATCTCCTGTGTCCTCACCTTTTAGTGTACGATAATACAGACCATTTTCAGGTCCCTAAGAAACAAGCATATTTAATTAGAATTGTTTTCTAAAATGGGTATATCTGTTTACAAAATGGAATATATAATGTCATCCTAACAAAATAAAGAACAAAACCAAACAGTGCATAGTCAAAAGTTTAATGGTCTAATTTGGGAGAATTTTTAAAAAACTAAAATGTTCAATATAGAGGAATTGAATCATGTTAATATGGATTATTGTGATAGAGTACTATGTATTGAAGAATTGAAACAGTACCTGGACTATTGAGGTACTTAAATTCTCTTTTCTAAATAACCAGCTGGGTAAGAAGAGTAGCTTTTATCATTACAAGATAACCAGTTACCATAGTAGAATTATAATTTGGTTCTTCTTCATATTTTACAGATTTTCTTCAGGGAGTGTATTCTATTTTCAGTGTAATGTGACATGTAATTTTTTTTTCTTTTTTGTTGTATTGGGGCTTGAACTCAGGGCCTACACCTTAATCCACTCCACCAGCCCTTTTTTGTGATGGGTTTTTTTCAGGATGGGCTGGCTTTGAACCTTAATCCTCCTGATCTCTGCCTCCTGAGTTGCTAGGATTACGGGTATGAGCCACCGGCACCCCCGGCTGTAATGTATTTTTAAAAACTAGCTAAACTTTTTGTAGTGATCAAGAACAGTAGAGAGAGCTTTGAGCATTCAGTTGCAATCTACTGCTAGAAAGTTAAATACCCAAAACTTGTGTGTTGTGAAACTGCCCTCCGGCAGGCCATTTAAATAAGGTGAACTGCACCTTGGATGGAAATGCTGAGATCTGGATCCCTAAAATCAATCAGTTTCTCTCAATCAGTCTCTCTGTCTCTCTCTCTCTCTCTTTCTGTCTCTCTCTCTCTCTCTCACTTTTGCATACTCACATACACACATACTTTTTTTCCTTCCCACCCCCATTTTCATTGTTATAGATTAGGAGATATTTGTAAGAATTAAAAATTTATGGGGAAGAGAAAGGGAAACTTAATATTTCTTTCAGTACCTGCTGTGGACCAGTTGCTCAGCTAGGTGTTTCAGCAGTCCTTTATCCTCTCCACAGCTTTGTAAGGAGTGTATTGGGCAACAGATTGAACATTCACATAGAGCAATAACCAATTAAAACATCAGTTTATTGCTGTACCCCATTTGCCTTCTTTGGAAAACCAAATTTTTTTGCAGTACTTGGGCCTGTATCTTGAGCCACTCCACCAGCCCTTTTTTCGTATGGGTTTTTTCTTGCGAACTATTTGCCTGGGCTGGCTTCAAACCTTGACCCTCCTGATCTCTGCCTCCTGAGTAGCTAGGATTACAGGTGTGAGTCACCGGCACTCTGCAGGAAACCAGATCTTGACTATGATAGTTTAGGACCAACCAGTCCAAGTAATACCCAAAATAATATCAAATGGTGTTCTTTAACTCAAGGTTTGAACTGTTTGGGGAAGTTGAATTTTTCTTCTCCGTTTTCTGTTCCCTTTCTTTTGTGCTGGGAATTGAAAACAGGGTCTCATGCAGGTCGAGTGCTGGGCAAGCACTCCACCACTGTGCTGTACACATCAGCCCCCTTAAAGGTTTTTTAATCCTGGGAAACAGACTAGTACCTACAATTTAAGAAATACTGGCCAAAATTAAGGTAGAGAACATTTAAAAGAAGGAAATGCAAATAAGGAAATCGAAATTGAAAAAGAAATAACCATGGCTACACATGGCATTACAAATGTTTCTTCTTACTCATCAACATTGTACTCTATGAAGTTACAGTTTGGCAGTTCTAAAGCTACTTTATCATTTGTACCAGGATTAAACAAATATGCAGATATAGTGTAGATAATAGAGCCAAGTTTCTCAGTGCCAGAGAAAGAAGTTACAAATAAGCAAGGGGGCAATGCTAGAATGAACCAAAGACTCAACATACTGACAATCACACGTGGGTGGACACACCCCCACATACCTACCCTTACACACAGATGGTATAGAAATGACATACGTGACTGTTTGTATGGGCTAGGATGCAGATGTATGTTTTCAAGCTATGTAAGCTGAAGAGCCTAGAAGCAGCAGCATCCCAGTAGCACAAGCACACCAGCACCCACATCATGACTTCTAAACATCCTCCAGCCAGTAAAAGAACCAAGGCTCTGGAAGGATGGCAGATTCTAGGGCTGGGTCCGGATACCCTGGAGCATCTTGTAATGCTAGAATGTAAGGAAGTGCTGAATGAATGATGGCTGAATGAGACGTGACAAGGACACAGGACTCTGAAAAAGCTCTTGGGCCAAAGCTTGAACAGTTTGAGAATGAAACTGGTGTGTGCTGTATGCCTATAACCTTAGCTACTTAGGAAGTTGGGGCAGGAGGATCTTGAATTTGAGGAGAGCTTGGGCAACATAGCAAGACCCTGTTTGGGGGAAAAAGTATAACCCAAGGACTAGAGTTAACATAGTTAATCTCTATGTGTATATGAGAATCCACAGATTAACCCTGTGGTTTGTACCTTGCCAAAGTCTCACTCTGCCCAAGTTGAAGGGGTTGAGTGACTTAAAGAGTGGTTACAGAACGGAAGACAGCAGTTGTTTTCAAATGGCCTCGGTTTGCTCATTTTATCCTTGAGGAAATAGAGACCTGGGGAGGTTAGGAAACTTGTCCAGGGTCATAAAGCAGGTACAAGTCAGATTGGCATTGGGTCCCAGGTCTCTAGGTTTTTGTTTTATGTTTTTGGCTGTATTGGAGTTTGAACTCAGAGCTTTGGGCTTGCTAGACAAGCATTCTTACCACTTGAGCCACACCCCCCAGCTCTTTTTGCTTTTTTATTTATTTTTTCAGATTGGGTCTTGCTTTTGCCCTGGGCAGGTCTCAGATCTCCTATTCTCTTACCTATACCTCCCACATAGCTGGAGTTACAGGCATATACCACTATGGCCAGTTTATTATTTGAGATAGGGTCTTGCTAACTTCTTGCCCAGGGCGTCCTTGGACTGGAACTGTCCTGTTTCCACCTCCCACAAACTCAGTCTGAGCAGCACAGAGCAAGAATCAAAACCTAGAGACCAGGGACAGTGTCATGCCTTAATCCCAGCTACTTTTGGGAGGATGTAGACATGATCTACATCAAGTCTAACTTACAAAAGACAGAAAGACAGACTAATTTTACTTTTTTTTTTTTTTAATGGGGGGTTGTGTTGAGACAGGGTCGTGCTATGTAACCCAGGCTGGCCCCTAACTTAATCCTCTTGCCTCAGCCTCCCCAGTGTTGGCATACAGGCATGGATCACCACACTCATCCTCATTCCTTCCCCTTTTTTAAAAAACAAAGTTGAACCTGTAATTAGCATGCATTTTTCTAAAAATGAAGGCACCTCAAATTGATTGAGTTCTACAAACAAAATTCTGTTTGTAGAAATAATAATCTTGATTATTATTTCATGTTTCTAATTTAAAAATATTTGTTTTCTCTCTAATAACTTACACTAAAACTCTTAAGTGGCATTTGGTAACACTTTCATATTTGATTATATGTGGAAAAAAAGATACTTTTTTTTTTTTTTTTTGGTGGGACTGGGGTTTGAACTCAGGGTTTCGTGCTTGCAAAGAAGGCACTCTACTACTTGTGTCACACCTCCAGTCCATTTTGCTCTGGTTATTTTGGAGATGGGTCACACAAAGAACTATTTGCCCTGACTGGCCTTGAACCAAGAGACTCCAGATTTCAGCTTCCCAATCAAGTAGGGTTGCAGGCGTGGGCCACTGGCACCCAGCTAATAAAAAATTTTTAATTTGTGGGCTGTTGGAGTGATTCAAGTGGTAGAGCTTTGCCTAGCAAGCATGAGGCCCTGAGTTCAAGCCCCAATACTGCCAAAAAAGAAAAATAGTAATAATAAATAAATAAAATTTTTGTTTTTTATTATAGAAGAAATTTTGGATTCCTTAAGAGCCAAAAAAGGAGACATTGATGATGATAAAAGCCTAGAAGAAACAGAAAAAGAGAAGAATGAAATTGAGACTAACAACTCTAAAGATGCTGAAAAAAACAGAGAGGAGTTGGAAGACCAATCCCTTGAGAAGGACAGTGAGGACACAGCACCAGATGATGGTCCTGAGCAGGGAAAAGCCGAGGGTAAAAGAATTACTTGGGTTAAAAAGAAATGTTTCATCAGTGTTATTTGTGAAGTCCCCAGTTTTACTTGCAAAATGAAAATGAAGTTCTATTGCAAACAACTATTCTCTATTTCTAAAGAGATTAGGAGACTCTGTCCCTTGTAACATTCATAACCATTGTAATGAGTTTTATGAATTGATGGATTTGTAGTAATGCTATACCTGGATCTCTACTCTTACTTCCTAAGAAGTTGCCATTCTTTACGAGATTTTTTTTTACCAGAATATATACTTACATATACTGTAAAATATGTTTATACTTATATTAATATACTTATATTAGACATTCTTAATATATTAAATACTTTTAATTTTTGGATTGCCTATTGCAAAAATATCCAAGAATCTAATTGCTTTAAAATGGCCATCAAGTTAAAGCAGTTTTTTTGGTGATCAGTCATAATGATAATTGGTTGAATATGGCCATTTGTCCAAAAGCAGTTTTAAAGAATATCTTTAAAGTTTTGTTGTGCATTTTGCTGTAGAGCCAACAGAAGTTGGGGATAAAAGTAACTCTGTGTCAGCAAATCTTGGCGACAACACAACAAATGCTTCTTCAGAAGAGACTAGTCCCTGTGAAGGGAGGAGCCCCGAGGGTTGTCTCTCAGAAACCCATGATAGCAGCAACATGGCAGAGAAGAAGGTGGCATCCGAGCTCCCCCAGGATGTGTCAGGTACAGAGGGCAGTGTATCGATGCCTCTGTAATGGGGGCAATCCTTCCCTTTGCAGTAGAAGCTGAATGTCACCTAGAACTTTAAAGTATGTGTTCATTCATGCTGCTTGCTTCTGGTGCCATCTCTGATCGCTAAATTGTCACCTAACATTTGAAGTTTGGTGAATGTCCTTGCATCCTAATCCTCATGTTTTTAAACTCCATTAAGCTGCTTTTCTATAATAGACTTACTTGTATCTTTGGTCACTACACCATAGTGGCAGAGATTTGTTTTTAATTACTTACATATTAATGGCTCAGTGTTGAATGATTTGACCCCGCCAGCTCTGTATATACTAACACGTTAATTTTGTGTTTGCATGTGCTTATGTAGTTTCCACATGTCTGATCATAATGTTATGACAGAGTCCATCATCACAAAACATTTTCGCAAGGTTACTTTAGCCTTTTTAAAATTAAAATTATAACTGAAGTAAATTATATCTTAGTAAGAATGTGATTATGGCTTTTTTGTTTTTTTTTAATGAAATGTATTTTATTATAGGAACTTACATATTTCAAAAATTTGAGAGGAGTAAAATTTAAAAAATAAACATTGGTAATTCTCAAAAAACGAAGTCATGGTTGAAGGCAATTCTTAAAGATACTTTTCTGTGTCTAAGAATACCACCTATTTTCAGACTTTTAGTACTTTCACTGCTATGTCTTATGCTGGGATGTGAATCTGATGTGTTGGAAGCACTAGTATTTGGAAGACCTACATTCTGGGTTCACTTCTGCCATTGAGTTAATGTCATTTCATTGTTCAAGGCCTCCATGTTCCTGTTTTAGAACTTAAAACTTTTTTTTTTTTTTTTTGGTGGTGCTGGGGTTTGAGCTCAGGGTTTCACGCTTGCTAGGTAAGCTCTCTACCACCTGAGCCATGCCCCCTCTTCATAAAGGCTTTTGACAACCAGCAGTTGCTGTTGTGGGCTGCTTTCACTTGAGTGCTTATCAGCAATGTTGCTGAAAACAGCAGTAGAAAATCAGGCTGTGTGTAGGGCTGTACGTGCAGACTCTGGAAGAATCACAGCTACCAGCAGAGAGTCCCTCTGCTTTATACTGATGAGAGAGTAGTCATTAAGAGAGGAAAATCTGAGAACTGTCACCTGGTAAAACAAATAAAGAAACAAATTTGTTCAGCTGAGAAAAATGTAAGCTTGGCAAATGGAAATAAATGTAATTCTCCTGAAGTGTTTCAGGGGCTGAATTGAGGAGGGTGTAGGGATTAAACTTGTTCTTGAAAAAAAATGTTTTGACAGTACTGGGATTTGATCTCAGAGCCTCATGCTTGCTAGGCAGGCCTCTACAATTTGACCCACTCCTACTACTAGATTTGTTCTTTGAGATATAGGGTTCAAGTCATATAAGTATAAACCATAATGAAGATTATTTTGATTAAATATTAATTCTCTTAAAATTAGAGCTATTTAGAAAACAGAAATAGGAAGTTGTTATTCACTAAAGGAATTCAGTAAATGCCTGTCAAAGATTATTTCAATGACAGTCTTGCAGAGTCTTTTAGAGGAACTCATAGAGTTCTGTAATTTGACTCTAAAATTTTATGATTAGATCTCTAGGCCCTGAATAATGGAAAAACAATTATATTATTCTCACTTTCATGTATTCAGGGTTAAGAGTTTGAAAGTTGGGCTGGACATAGTGACTCACGTCTGTAATACCAACTACTTGGGAGGCAGAGGAAGGAGGCCAGCCCAGGGCAAAAGCTCAGGACACTATGTGAAAAATAAAACAGGGTGGGGACATGGCTCCAGGGGTAAAGCATTTACCGAGGAAGCGCACAAGGCCCTGAACTTACACCCCAGTGCTGCCTCCAAAGGAAAAAAAAAAAAGTGTCATTTACTAGAATTATGATTATAGTCTTAGCAAATAGTTTTTAAAGTATTCTTTGTCCTTCATGTAAATCTCAAACCTTCTGGTGGTTTATGTATGATTTAGCTGTCTTGTTTGTATTTTATTTATTGGTGGGACTGGTGTTCGAACTCATGGCTTCAGCCTTGCAAAGCAGGTACTCTACTATTTGAGTCACATCTCCAGTCCATTTTGCCTTGGTTATGGTTATAGAATGGAGGATCTCATGAACTATTTACCCAATCTCAGCTTCTCCAGTAGCTTAGATTATAGGCATGAATTACCTGCCCCCAGAGCTGTCCTGTTTTTAAACCAAACTGGGGGAATAATTATCCTTAGATTTGCTTTTTTTGTTGTTTTGCTTGTTGTTTTTTGATGGTTGTGGGGTTTGAACTCAAAATGTCAGGCTTGCTAGGCAGACACTGTACCACTTGTGTCACTCTGCCAGCCCTGTTTTGGGTTGGGTATTTTCAAGATAGGATTCTCATGAAGTATTTGCTGCTGCTGGCTTTGAACTTTGATCCTCCTGATCTCTGCCTCCTGAGTAGCTAGGATTACAGGTGTGAGCCACTGACACCCAGGTATGTTTTGTTACTAGAATGGTTTAAGGAAGAAACTATTATTCTAGTATCTGACTTAGATTTTTAATGAATGCCAAATGAATAATACATGAAAAACACTTGGGATTGTGCCCGACACATTAATTGCCCAATAAATGGTGGGTATTTTTATTAGTGCTATACACACTCAGCTCTTCTGAAGATTGAAAGCATGGTGGAAAAAGAATAATAAAGTCAGTGAAACACATTTACTGATTCACTCAGTGTTGAGTAACATAGCTGATTGTGCGAACTCTTGTGTTAGACTTTGTAATTCAAATAGTATTTTCATGTATATGTCATGAAGAATATAGTTTTATAAGAACATGAATAAGAAATTTTAAGGAAAGTGTAATGGGAGCAGATAGCAATTGTGAGCAGATGTCTTCAGAACGAATTTGAGGTCATTAGTGGGATGAGAATGCTGTATGGCTGAAGATCCTGCCTCTAGACTAAATCCAAGCCCTGACCGTTTCACAGGTCGTAGTCCTTTTCATGACTAGACTGAAAAAAACCCCTAGAATTCTGAATATTCCTATGCTTGTGTGGTAGATGTCACAGCAGTGTTTTGTTTTTGTTTTTGTTTTTTTTTTGGTGCTGGTTATCAAACCCAGGGCCTCAACCACCCTTTAACCCTCCTGCCAGGTTTTTGTTTGTTTGTTTTGGCTGTACTTGGGTTTTGTACTTGCTGCCTGGTTCTCTGCCATTTGAGCCAGGCCTCCAGGCTGCTCCTGCCATTTTTTAAAGAGAAATTTGGAGTTTTTATAAAGTAGATAAACTAGTAAGTCTCTGACTTAAGAATATTCTAGGGAGTTTGGAGGTATGGCTCAAGCAGTAGAGCACCAAAATAAAATAAAATAAAATAAAAATCCACAGGCATCTATTTAAAAAAAAAAAAGAATATTCTAATGGGGATACATCCATGAGAAAAGTACAGCGTGAGCCCCTGGGGGCGTTGCATTCTAATGGGTGCAGACAGACCCTAGGGGCGGCGTTGGACTCTCAGAGAGGACTCTCTGCCTTCAGTGCCTTTCAGTCTCTCTGCTCTTTATTGGCTCAGCACACACCGAGGAGTCCTGCACTGTTCCTTTCAGTGTCTCCTCACCACCACTGACCCCGCGTAGTCCGTGCGAGAGATGAGTTGTTACAATGGGAGAGTTATTCTAGGCAGGAGAAAAGTGGCAGCCATGCTAGGAAACATCTCATTTGGTTTTCTTTTCTACACTCAATTTATTGATTAAAGCTTATCAAGAAAATAATACTGTCAGATTGAACTTAGTTTTTTGGTGAGCTTTATTTTTATTTACTTATTTTGGTGGGATTAGAATTCGAACTCAGGGCCTCAAGCTTGCTAAGCAGGCGCTCTACCACTTGAGCTATTCCACCAGCCCTTTTTTTGTGTTGGGTACTTTTGAGATAGGGTCTTGAGAACTATTTGCCCTGACTGATCTTAAACTGAGATCCTCTCCATCTTAGCCTCCCAAGTAGTTAGGATTATACGTGTGAGCTACCAGTGTCCCACTTGAAGAGTTTTTGTTTTTGTTTTTTTAATTGAAGTAGAATGCACAAATATTAGTGAACAAAGTGCATACATAACCATATGGGTAACCAAATCATACCACTTGTCAACTACTAGTACACCTACCTCCCATCACCACCGCACACACAAAAGTGATAACCATTTTGTGTTCTTTCACTGCCAGTTGATTTTACTTAGGGAAAACAAACAAACTACCCCTTCTTACCCCCAAAAAACACAGTATGTATTCTTTGATGTCTTTTTTTTTTTTTTGATGTTGTGGGGGTGAGGCTCGGGGGCTCGGGGCCTACACCTTGAGCCATGCCACCAGCCTTTTTTTGTGAAGGGTTTTTTTGCTATAGGGTCCTGTGAACTATTTGCCTATGCTGGCTTCAAACTGCGATCCTCCTGATCTCTACCTCCCGGGTAGCAAAGATTACAGGTGTGAGCCACTGGCACCTAGCTTAATGTCTGATTTTTAAAAAATTTTTAACTCCAATAATGTATCAGTGAGAGCCACCCATATATTGTGATAGTAACATATTTTTTAATCACAGTATGATACTCCTTTATATAGATGTATCATGACTATTTTTCCTTATTCTTTGCTGACCATCATTTACCTGGTTTCCAGTTTGGGACCATTACAAATGGGAGAGTAGATCCCAACCTTGTATGCCGTCTTGACTAACAGCAGAAGTTCCTGGGGTGGATTTTTTTGTTCGTTTGCTTAACTCCCTTGGGATTGAACCCAGGCCCTTGCACCTGTTAGACAAGTGCTTTACCACTCAGCTATATCCCAGCCCTTCTCTTTTTATTTTTTTTTTCAGTTTTTGCATTATGTGCAGTTTGAGATTATATTATTAATATTAAGTGCATCCTAATTTTTATATTTTTGGTTAAATTAAGGTTTTTATCATTGGGAATTCTCCTTCATCTTAATATTTCCAAGCTATACCACCATTCTTTTGGTTTGTATTCGATTTGTTATCCATAACAGAACTTTTTTTCCACTGCTGGAATTTGAACTCAGAGCTTTGTGCTTGCTAGGTAGTTACCTCTGTTGCTTTGGCCATATGGCCGGTCCAGAGATTTTTTTTTTTTTTTAATAATACAACAATTTTAAGTCCATTTAGAAATAACATTTACCTTAGTGTTTATATATAAGCATATATATTTTATTTCCAGATTTAGCATGAAATAAAGTCTCATTAGAGAGTGCTATCATTTCTGTGCAATTTGATAGAAGATATTATGCAAGGGAAAAAAATGACAAATTTATAGCCTAGAAAAACTGTAGGAGAACATAAAAATGGATAGCAATTTCATGGTAACCATAATATTGGGTGTTATCAGTGATTTAAAACATTTTATATGGATCAGATTGAAGAGCAAACTGAAAAATTGGGCAGTATATTGGGAAAGATTTGCAGACATCATTTTAAAAAGCTAACCTCTTTATACCTAGTCCTCACGTTTGTGATCTCATGTCTGAGTTCCAGATGTTTCTCTTTAGTTCATGAGAACAGTGATAGTGCCCATGGAGCAAGTATGTATACTGTTTAGCATTCAGTGGAATTTGTTTCTAGTTCACAGAGGGCTCAGTTTCAGAATTAAACCTTCATCCTGGATTTTCCATTAGAAAGTTTTTGTTCCAGATGGTTTGGGTTTTTTTTCATTTCTAAAGGTGGGGGTACCTATCTTTCTAGCATCTCAAACTCAGATCCATTGTGATGATGAATATTATTATTATTAGCACAGGTTGGCCTGGAACTTCCAATGAAGCCCACGCTGGCCTCAAACTCACAATCTTCCTGCCTCAGTCTCCTGAGTGCAACACCATGTCCAGCTTGCTCAGGATTTATCTTAGATGTATACTGCACACAAATTGTTTTATTTACATTATGCTTCTAGATTCAGTGCCTTGAATTAGAAAAGTATCAGTAGTAGCTAAAACTGTCTTCATTTCTGTAAGTACCTTAAAAAAAAAACCAAAAAAACACATAGTGGGATTTTGAACTCAGGGTCTTATACTTGTTAGGTGGGTGCTCTACCCCTTGAGCCACTCCATCTGCCCCCATAAGTACTTGTAAGTGATTGAAAATGTATTCTTGAACATACTAAAAGTCACATCTATAAAATTGAACTTAAAATTGAACTCTAAAAGTCTATTGACTTAATCTGTTCTTACTTTGTTGGGATAAGAAAATCTTTAAAAAGTCCTTTGCTTTAGATATTTAGAAGGCAAGTTCAGTGGCTTTTGATACTGAATGGTAAAGTGAAGTTTCCCATACATTGTTACCATGTTGCGTTGATAGCTGAAGACTTTTAGAGGTACAACAGTTAAGTGTTTTTTTTTTTTTTTTTTCTTGTGTGTTTGCTTTTAGTTTAATTATATAATACATTCTGGTTGGGTTTTTTTTTTTTTAATCTTATTTTTCCTTTTTTCAAAAATCTCCCTTTTACAAACTTCAAGTGAAAAAGTTAATTTTTTTCACTTTATAGATTTTTGCTCAGGATTTTGTTCTGTGTTTTAAGTAGACATTTGGCCTTTTAGGATAGGCTTTGTTGGCTTGTGTTCAAAAGTTGAAAGTGAAGATCTTTATAGAATTTTGGTTTGCTTTGGGGGTTAACTACATTTTCTTATTGTTATTCATTACAGAGTCTGTCATGTGCAGTGAAAATAATATAAATACCAGGACCTGTCACATTTGTCTTAGGGCTATAGTGCTTGGGCTTCATGTATTTTAAGTGTACATTTTGGTAGGCGTTATGTTCTTTATGGTGTATTTAAGCAAATAGTTAAAACTTCCTTAATTCTGTTAGCCTAATAATTTATGTCTAGCTGGATATATGTAAGGAATTTTCACTTCTGTCTCTTCATTCTCTAGTTTTCTTTTACGGCCAGCCATTTTTATAATTCGTGTATATCCCCCTGTTGTTTTTAGGCTTGTTTTTTTTTTATTTTGGTGGCACTGGGTTTTGAACTCAGGGCTTCATGCTTGCTAGGTATGCGCTTTACCACTTGAGACACTCCACCAGCCCTCGTTTTTTGTTTTTGAGACAGTCTTGCTGTGTAGCTTAGGCTGGCCTCCTGCCATACTGTTGTTTTGTTTTTGCTTTTCATAAAAAAAAGGCAAAATTTGGGGCTGAGCATGGTGATTCATGCCTGTAATCCCAGCGAAGCCAGCAGCTGAGGTTGGAAGATGGAGGTCCTAGGCTGGCTCTGAGCAAAAAGGGCTGGAGGCGTGGCTCAAGTGGTAGAACACTTGGGGCATTGAGCTCAAACCCTGTACCACCAAAAAAAAAAAAAAAAAAGTGTATTTACAAATTTGTATTTCCCTTCCTTTCTGACATGAAAGTTAGCATAGTATAAGAACTGCCTGCACCTTTCCTTTTACATTTAAACTTTCTTGTTGTCGTTGGCAGTGCTGGGGCTTGGACTCTGGGCCTTGCACCTGCTAGGCAGGCAGGCACTCTACCACTTAAGCTGCGCCCAGCTACACTTCACTTTTGAAGTCATTTCGTGACTAGAGTGCTTACCCTTCCTCCTCGCTGTTGTACGTGGTGGCTCATTGCATGTACTATCTTTTATACAACCAGTGCCCTGTTGGTGAGCATTTTGTTTGTTTCTGGTTGTTTCCACTGTACATAACGCCTCCCTGAACAGCTCCATAGTAAGTCATTTAGCATTTTTGCTAGTGACTTTTGTGATAGATTTCTAAACATGGGATTGTTAGGTTAAGAGTAAATGCAGGTGCAGTTTTTCAAGATATAGCCAGTTCCCTTTTGTCCACCTTGGACCATTTTCCATATCAACAGCAATGCCTGGCAGCATTTCCTAACCCTCTGCCTGTCTTTATTGGAGTGTTTTGTGAGACTTGAATTTCTGCCAGTCTGATAGCTTAGCAGTAGTTTCTCCATACAGTTGTATTTTGCATTTCTCTTAGCTTGAATTAAGTGAACATACTCCCATAAGTTTTAAAGGCAACTTTCATTTCTTTTATGGTTATTTCTAGGTCTTTTCACGCTCTATCAGGCTATTGGGTTTTTAATCTCAAAAAACAAATTTAGGAGCTTATTACACATTTGAGATAGTCATGACATCAACCACTTTTTACTTCAGGTGATTTAAAAAGTGTATCTTACTAGTGACAAGTGTGAATACAAAGAGAGACCAATAATTTCTAAACTGCCATAGAAAGACTTAGGCTTTAGTACATACTAATATTAGTTTTGGTGTTCATTTAGGACCACCTTCGTGATCTATCAACACTTAGTGATCTATCAAGAGTGTCCAGAAAAGTTAATCACAGTTATGCATTGCCTGGGGGCAGAGAGCTCAGGCAGAAAACTGTAGAGGAAAATTATTTCATTTAATTCTTTGTCTAATAGTGCTGCTTGAAGCATTTTGAAAAGTAAGTATATAAACTTCAGATTTTTAGTTGTTAGGGAGGCAGTAGCTGCTGTCCCCTAAGTTCTGTGAAGTAGTTGTGTCAGTTGGTTTTCCTTCAGGCCTGGGGCATCTCTGTCTGTCTTGCACTGGACTGAGTTGATGAGAGCCTGAGTCAATAGACTGGGAACCTTACAAATTGGTGCTTACCAGTTTCTCTTCACACAGGCTATTTCATTACTCATGCATGATAAGCTTTCTAATGAAATCCCAAGACAATTAAATGCCATTGCTGACAATTTTCTATGTGGTTTTCAATTTAAAAATCAGCTATTCTATTTTTCTAGAAGACCCTAACAAGACATGTGACAGCAGTAACACTAGTGCTACCACTACCTCCATCCAGCCTAATCTGGAAATCAGTAACAGCAGCAGTGAACTAAATTCTTCCCAGAGTGAATCTGCTAAGGCAGCTGATGATCCTGAAAGTGGAGAAAGAGAGCCCCATACACCTGTCTCTGTTCAAGAAGAGATAGGTAAGAATGCACTTCATCCATTAAACAGAGCTTTTTTTTTTTTTTTTTTGACATTTTCGATTTTTTTATATGTTTGGTAGGGTGGGAAGATTTAGATTTTCTTTTTACTTTTTTTTTTTTTTCCCTTTTTCCTTTTTTTAACACAGCTCTTGAACTCACTGTTTTTGTTTAAAATAATATGAAAGCACACAGAGGGAAAAAGTAGAAGATCCTTTTTATAACCTTCCTCCCAAGTGTAATCTAATTACCAGCTGCAGTTTGAACATAACATTTTACATCTTTCTCCCTGTGGTTTCACTCATACATGTATGTTTTCAAAGGTTTTTTTTCATTATTGTTTTATTTTATTTTATTTTTTTACATAAATGGGATCATTCTGCATGTATTGTTCTGCATTGTGGTTTTGTTTTTTTTTCCCCACTCAGTTACACATGTAGGGAATCTTCATATAATAAGTTAAAATTCTTTTTAACTGCTGCATGCTACTTGATTATGACCAATGGTGATGCCTTTCTCAACATGTATCTTATGTTCTTGTCCAAATATTTCTGACAATATAGGATACAGTAAATGGAATTGCCAGTGAAATGGTAGATACATTTAAAAAATAGTGGTGGCTCCTGCACTGCTTACTTGTATATCAAAAGGGAATTATACTGATAATTCACATTCTTATCTGTGTCTTCATTTTCACATCTAAATTCAACACCATCAGTCCTCTTAAATTTTTGTCAGTGTTAAAAAGTGTTTCATGAAAACAATTACACATGCCTGCTTATTACTGTGTTGAGTGCCTTTTTACGTGTTTGCTTGCTTTTTCCTATTGAGTTTTGGGATTTTTCCTTAGTGAGTTTTAGGAATGCTTTTTATGTATTATAGTTATTAGTCTTTGATTTTACATATTTATATAGTAGTTACTTGGTTTTATTCTCTGCCGTCTGATCATACCAAAATTTTTGTGTTTTTATGTGGTTGAATTTATTACTCCTTATGTTTAGGGTTTCTCTGTCCTTATTAAGACCACCCCCATTCCAAGAATATATATGTATTATACAGCAATTTCCCATAACACTTATAACTTTGTTTTTGATCTATCCAGAGTGTGATTTTATATATGGTTTGAGATGGGAGATCTGTATTTACTTAGGACTTTTCAATTGCAAGGGACCAAATCAGCTTCAACTAGCTTAAATGATGAGGAATTAAAAAAAACATTATTTATTTGTTTTGGTGGTACTGGGGGTTTGAACTTGGGGCTTCCTGCATGCAAAATGATGAGGAAATTTAATTAGCTTATGTAATTGGGAAGTCCGAGCCATTGTCTGGCGTAACTGGACTCCTAGGTATACCGACTCTTTCTGTCTTCCTCCCTTTCTCTCTCACCTTTTGGATCTACATATATGTGTGTGCTAATTTCATTCTCTCCTAACACAGACAGGCTTTTTCCAAGTGACAGGAAAGATGGCACCAGCAATTTGTTTTCATGTCTCTCCAAGGTCCGTGACCCAAAGGCAAAGCCCTTACCTACTCCTGCTCCAAATCAAAAGTCATTGATGAAGGAATTGGAGTGGCATATTTTGGATCATATTGTTTCCACTCCCGTGGCCAGGGCAGGCAAGGTATTATGATTGATGGCTCCAGCAAAATTATATGATTGGAACGGGGTAGGAATGGTTTTCCAAAGAATGAGGGAGGCTGCAAAGATAGAGCACAGTAAAGATCTGCAGTTCCACCTTTTGGTACTTGGCACACTTGTGTTTATTCACACTTGTTCCCATGCATGGGAACAAAAATGCTCCTACCTAACATACTGCAGAGATCTCACCCATAACTGGAAGCTTCCAAAAACTTCTGTCCCACAAGTCCATTCAGTAATTATAATTCTGTCTAGATCCGAATCTAGGACTTCTTTGTGTTGTGCATTAACTTTCACAGGTCTGGATGTGACTTATCTTGATCTTACAACTCATGAGCCAATTGTGAATTAACTGCCTGTAACACACTTTATCCTGAGAGTGAGGGTATTCTTTGATAAATCTGGGAGAATAACCATGGATGAGACATGAAAAAATTCCCGTTCTGGAGGCCATTCTGTGTCAGCAGCCTAGTTCCTGCTTGCTTTTGCTGGGAATTGCTGTAGGATTGGACAGCCATATGCCCAGTTTGGCAGGTTTGGAGTTCTTGTCTGGTAATAGAGTCCCTTTTCAGATCAACTTGTCTACTTGGTAGGCCAGTAGCCCTAACCCTCATGTGAATACAGCCTCTCTAGGCTTCTGCCTTCTGGCATCATTAAATAATAAGCTATAGAAGCTGTGGGAGATCGATCTGTACTGTACCACTGGGCTGCCTCATGGTGATTGACTCCTTTATAATAGGAAGACTATGGCTCTTGGGCAGAGAAGGTTCAGTAAGGGCCTCTACTCAGCCTAGATCTCTTTTTCTGAACTTCAGGTCTTACCCTGGGTGTGAATTTTCTCCTCTTACTTGCACTAAACTTAGCAGGTGGCAGTGGGTTAATTTGAACAGTACTAATTGGTAACCATACATTGAGGGGCTTCTTTTTAAAAGCACTTGCCATTCCTTTTCTGTTCTCCAGAAATCCCAACCTAGATCAAAAACTGTCTATAAAGTGTTTACTAGAGGATATTATAAATGGTCCCAAGAACTACCCACCGTAGTTCAGTACCTTGGCCTAAAACTCCGCCTGTGTAGTGTCATGATCTGAGACCCAAGAGAAGGCTAATGGTTGGACCAGCTGCTTTACCACACATTAGGATACCAGCTTGCCAGCCTGGCATGACAAGATCCTCAGTACCCACTCCCCCTTGAGTTAGTCAGTGCCATACTTTGGAGTCAAAAAGCTTAAAATACTCTCCTGGATCATTTAGGACTTACTTGTTTTGACAGAAATCCATCTTGTTTAAAACAAAAAGGGAATTTTGCTAGTACAAAAGTGTTGGACTGGTGACAGCCTCAGGTGCATTATTGGATCCAGGAAGTTGAATGAGGTTGTCATGGTCTTCCCTTCAGTTTTCCCTTCTCCCTCCCTCTTTCCTCCCCCCTCCTTATTGTTTCCTATAAATGACTGTTTTCTCCATGTTTTGGGAATAGAGGTAGCCACCCCTTTACACACTTCCTGCTCACTAACAGAAAAGGCAGAGATCCTGTCATCATTTCCAGATTTTTAAAAATGGAGTAGGATGCTGACTGGCTGGGCCACCCAACCAGTTCCTGGGTCAGTCACCATAACCTTGTAGTGGTGTGCAGTGTCTGGCCAAGCTAAGTCCTGTAGTTCACCCCAAAGGGGCAAGATGCTTAGATTTGCATCCCTGCCGGAATCATTGGCTCAAGTATGTATATGTCAGGGAGAGCAGCTCCCCATAGAAGAGAAGGGTTATGGAACTGATTAAATGAAAAATGTTTACTAAATTTTCAACTTTTTCCCCTACAATGCAGTTTCCTTAATCCTATCTTTGTATGTAATGTAGTGACTTCTCCTTCCTTGTATTTACCAATACCATCTTTTAACTTTTTAAAGCTTTAAAGTAAAAAGAAAACTCAGATCTTGCTCAGTTGTCTGGCCAATAGAAGTTAGACAGTGATGAGGTAAGGTTAGTGTGTGACACTCAAGAAAATGCAAAGTGGAAATTCCTTCTGGGCCATTCATTCTCTCACTTTGAACAGGAAGTTACTATGGTAGATGTTGAGAGATCTTCATTATTACTAAAAACTAGTTGATTTTTCCATTAATACCTTATAATTACCTAGCTTTCCTAGAGAAAAATTCATTGGCACTTAATGTTTATAAGCTCAAAACAGTTAAGTACTTAAACAGAATTTCAGTGGAAATTTCTCAAAAATTAACTATATACAGGAATCCATATTGAATACATAAGGCAACATTTTAGTGTGCATTTTGAGTTACTTTTGTTATCTGTAAATTTCAAGCAGTCTTTCTTGTCTTCTAGTTAGATGAGTTTTGAAAAATAACCTATCATGTTTGTGTTTTCTGTAGAACAATAAATGACTCACAATAAAATTCTGAGGGTTTTTTTTTTTTTAAGCAAAATAGTTAAAAATTAATGACATTTGCTTTGTCTATTCAAGGACCGTATCTGTTTACTGTCTGAATCTTAGATATATCCTTGATACAAGTTTTGGATAAATAAGACATTTTTATGGTTATTTAATGTCAGTGATTCCTTTGTGACTCTTTCCTTTGATAATAGGTGATTTCAGATTGGAGAAGTCTAACGGGGAAATAAGTGAGTCTCCTGGACCTGGAAGAGGAACATCTGGCTCAACTCGCATCATCACCAGACTGCGGAATCCAGATAGCAAACTTAGCCAGCTGAAGAGCCAGCAGGTGGCAGCTGCAGCCCATGAAGCCAATAAGTTATTTAAGGAGGGCAAAGAGGTATGTTCTTTCTGTTTAAAACAAAAATCTGTGCATGATGAATAATTACAATTATTGTGCCTTAAAAATAGGGGCAGGAAATTTATAGACCTACTTTGCATTATATTTTCTCCATTTCTAAGCGTATAATGGGCAATAAGAGCAAAAGTGTTAACCTCATATTATGTTGAGTGCATTTGCACACTCAGATTTTAGTCCATGCATAGAAAGACTGTAAGTGGCTGATAGTACATGATTGTCCTTGTCGTATACAATTCTAAAGAGAGAAAGCCTTCTTTTTCACGTATGGCAATGTTAGGCTATTCATGAGCTCTACCAGAGAGCTGTCTGTTACTTACTGTGACCACTTCAGGTGAACCTGCAGCTCTGGCATAGATTGGCACACAGCATTCAGCTCTGATTATGGACACTGGGATTGAAGCTAATACTCAGTATTAGCTGAGCACTGGTGGCTCACACCAGTAATCCTAGAGATGAGGAGGATCATAATTCAAAGCCAGCCTAGGCAAGTAGTTTGCAGGACCCTATCTTGAAAAAACCCATCACAGAAAAAGGGCTTGTGGAGTGGCTCAAGCGGTAGAGCACCTGCCTAGCAAGTATGTGGCCCTGAGTTCAAGCCCCAGTGCCACCAAGGAAAAAAAATAATAATAAGACTCAGTATTTCTGCCCCTCACCTAGCCATGGGGACAGAAGAGGAACCAAACTGTGTCTCCCACATTTGAGAATTATTTGCAGGCAGTTAAGCAAAAATTGACATCAAGTAGTTACTTTAAAGCAGTAGCTTTTAAACATCTTTTTGACTGTGACCCTTAGTAAAA